GCCCTCACTTTAACTTCAGACACCATTCTGGGTTGGCAATTCAATTGGCATTGTAATTCAGTAACTCTTACAATAAGACTCTGGTTTTAGTTTTGGGCAATATGAGCTCTGTTACTAGAGAAATAAGGGTTTCTTTCAGAGCACAACTGGAAACATTGAAGTCTTTTATGTGGCACTTGAGCTGTGACTCAGCAGCCCTGAACTCATCTCTCTCTTTCACCACTTTGTCTAGCATAAGTAGGACCAACCAACCAACTTCCTTATACTCCTCATGATGACAGAATTACAGAAAAGTATCAAATGTGCGTTCACCCAGAGCCTCACTTCTCAAAAATACTTGATCTGTTGGTGGTGCTATTTTGCATATTAATGTTGCTGTCTCATGCTGTGGATTAGCAGGGCCATCTTTACTAATGGAGGCACAGTCACCAGTGCTTTTACAATTAATCAAATTGGAGAACCAAAACAGAATAGGTGAGAACCAGTTTAAGAAGCCCATCCTTATGATTTTGTCTCTCTAGAACCACTACCAGTACCAAATGTGTTAGGCTCGGTTCTCTAGAGAAGCAAAATCAGTAAAGCTTAGAGAGAGAAAAAAAAAAAAAAATTATCTTAGGAAAATGGCTCACACACTTATAGAAGCTGGCAAGTCCCAAGTTCTTGGATCAAACATCAAGCTTGAGGCTTCTCCTGACTCACACAGCTGCAGGGGCTGAGGAGCTCAAGGTTGGCAGGAAGTATACTGGCTGTCGACTACAACGAATGATGAATCCAAAATCACCAGGCGGAATGGTGGGTTGTTCACTCACAAACAGTTGTAGGCAGCACAACAGGATCCCAATCCACAGAAGAGTGTCCCTTTTCCCAGGATGTCCATAAATATATGGAAGCAGACCACACCCCTAGGGAAACTCCTTTCAATGGATTGGCTGCTCAAAACATATACATCTTATCTCACCATGGGAACAATCCACATCACAACTGCTTAAACCACTTAAAATTGTGGTCTTGCCAAGTTGACACACAACTCCAACTATCACACTCCTTAAAAAGCAAAAACCAAACTCACTGCCATTGAGTCTATTCCAACTCATAGCAACCCCCTTTGGGTTTCCAAGGTGGAAATCTTTACAGAATTAGATTGCCCAGTCTTCCTTCTGCAAAGTGGCTGATGGGTTTGAACCACCAACCTTCTGGTTAGCAGTCAAATACCTTAGGCACTATGCCACCACAGCTTCTTAGGATACTCCTTAGGCATTCCAATTTAAGATGATGTCTGGATCTTAAACAAGTTATCTCCAAAGAGACTCCCAAGTTTCAACTCACAAAAACAAAAAACCCAAACCCATTGCCATCAAGTTGATTCTGACTCATAGTGACCCTACAGGACAGAGAACTCCCTCACAGAGTTTCCAAGGCTGTAAATCATTATGGAAGCAAACTGCCTTATCTTTCTCCTGCAGAGCAGATGGTGGGTTAGAACCATCAACCTTTTGGTTAGAAGCTGAATGCTTTAAGCACTCCACCACCAGAGCTCCCTGACTTTCACAAAGTGCCAGTCAAATGAATTCCAGTCATAGCTTTTCCAAGTAATGTGCCCTTGGGCAAGGCACCACTCCCTTTTGGGTTCTCTACCTTCATCTCTACCAAGGTCTCTCTGACACTTTCATTCTTGAGATCAATGTTCCAGTGCCCCTGAAGGACTGCTAGAGTGAGAAGGCCAGCTGGCTGCTGTGGCCTGAGCTCTAGAGTACTGGAGCGGGCACTGGCCCGCTGCTTCTTGGGTTCTAAAAGGAACGTTATTTCATCAGGCCCAAGGAATGATGCTCAGGTCCTGAAGGCCAATTACACTAAATTCATAACACTCTAAATGGTCACTCCAGAGGCCTGATTACTATTAATATTGCTTATTAATCCTTATTCATTCTGATGGCTAGTGTTCTCTCTTGTCTTGTGAAAAATTAACTCAAGGTCAAAGTCTGGTTGGTCAGAAGAGGGCAAAGGTCATTTGAGACATGGTCTAAAGGGTTAGAGAAGCTGAGCTCTGGCATCCAGGGACACTCAAGCAGCTTAGGGGCCAGAGAGTCATTTCCCTTGGGAGTCCCAAGACTTCATAATATACCATCCTCCGGCATAGGTGGGTTTAGGCATCAGGCCGGGCAGCTAGTCTCTGCAGAAGGTGCTGCATACTCCTCAGCCATGGTGTGATCACACCATGTACCACTGTACAGCCTGGTCCTCCTCTGTCTCCCCTAGGGCAGCGATTGCTTGTCTCCACTTCCTAGCACGGTGCCTGCCATACTGCAGAAAATGGGCTCAGTGAGCAGTGGATGAGTTGAATGAATGAGTGAGTGAGTGTTCAGGGGTTAGCATAGATGTGATAGCACACATGTAGGTCAGCCATTTCCATCAACAGCTCTCATAGCTTTCTTCTGGCATAGTGAGTAGGGTAAAGGAACCCTTTTGCCCTGCCCCACGGCCCATATCTCCCCCTCTTCCACCCACTCCCAACCCTCAACATTTGGTGCCTGTGAATTATCCCTGGAATCTTAGAAAGTACTTCATGGGAAACCATTGAGTTAACAAGCCATTTGCATGTCCATGACTTGGCCTTGGAAGACTCACTAGAGTTTCCAGACCGATCTTGGCAGTTGTTGTTGTTGTTATGTGCCATCGAGTTGGACCCGACTCATAACGAGTGGCCCTCCTTGGGTTTCTGAGGTGGTATCACTACGGAGGTAGATTGCCCCAGCTTCCTTCTGAGGAGTGGCTGGTGGGTTTGAACCGCCAGCCTTCTGGTTAGCAGTCAAGTGCCTTAGACACTATGCTACCAGAGCTCCTGATCTTGGCAGAGGTGGATTCAAAGCACCTGCAAGATGGAGAGCCCTCTCTCCTTCCCTCTGGAGGCCTGCACCAGGAACTTCTCAGCAGGAACTCTGAGAAATGGTCACTATTCTCTTGAGAAAGGGAGCTCTGGTGGTGCAGTGGTTAAGCCCTTGGCTGCTAACTGAAAGGTTGGTATATTGAACCCACCAGCCTCTCTGCAGGAGAAAGATGAGACAGACTGCTTCTATAAAGGTTTACAGCCTTGGAAACTCTATGAGATAGTTCTACTCTGTCTTACAAAAAAACAACTCACTGCCATCGAGTTGATTCTGACTCAAAGCAACCCCTCCTTGGGTTTCCAATCTGGTATCCAGGGACACTCAAGCAGCTTAGGGGCCAGAGAGTCCCTGGAAGTAGATTGCTCAGTCTTCCTTCTGAGAAGTAGCTGGTAGATTTGAACCTCCAGCTTTCTGGTTAGCAGTCAAATGCCTTAGGCACTTATAAAACCAAAAACCAAACTCACTGCCCTCTAGTCTGATCCAACTCATAGCAACCCTTCCTTGGGTTTCTGAGGCAGTATCCCTACGGAAGTAGGAGGAGTGGCTGGTGGGTTTGAATCGCCAGCCTTCTGGTTAGCAGTCAGATGCCTTAGGCACCATGCCACCAGAGCTCCACCACACCACCAGAGCTCCACCACGCCACCAGAGCTCCTATGTTGTTGTTGTTGTTATGTGCCCTGGAGTCGGACCCAACTCATAGCGACCCCTCCTTGGGTTTCTGAAGCAGTATCACTACGGAAGTAGATTGCCCCATCTTCCTTCTGAGGAGTGGCTGGTGGATTTGAACTGCCAGCCTTCTGGTTAGCAGTCAAGTGCCTTAGGCACTACACTACCAGAACTACCTAGAGCTCCTATAGGGTCACACTGTAAGTCAGAATCCACTGAAGCCAGTGGAATTTTTTAGGTGTCCCAAGAAAAGTATGCACAGCCTGCCACCTTGTGGCCAACTCTAGTCCTACAGCCCTCACCACACATGTTGTTATGTGCCATTGAGTCGTAGGCCCAGCAATATTTAACCTCCCAAAAATGCAGTGGAGAGTCTCTGCACTGGTAGGAAATGGGCATCAGGAGGGAAAGAAAAAAAGTCCCAGGTTCTGATTTCCTTCCTGTCTGTCTGTTCCAAAGTCCTCATCCTGTGGGGTCAGCCCTAGGGTCAGAGGCCCTGCCACCTCCTTGAGGGAAGGAGAGAGTGGGAGGCTGGAGCCTAGAAAGGAGCTGTACTCAGGGGTTGAACAAGAAATATCTATGGAGGACCTCCAACTGAGTGAAACAAATTTAGCAAAACCAGCTCACCTGTCTCTAACCCTAGCCCACCTCTTAGCCTGAGTGCCCTTATCTCTAAAAGAGGGTCTTGTGACTTTTTTAGGCCTCTTCCAGCTCCAACATTGTCTCCAGGCAGGATCATCCCAAAACAGGGAAAAAATCCCATCACTGAATCCTTACAGCTGTGACTTAGAGTAAGGACCCATGCCATTGGAGATATGTGGAATATTCTGGCATGTGAGGCCAGCTTTTTCCTCTGGCCTCTTTGCCTTCTGGGTAGCACTGCTAGGTTCCACTGTCTGCTGTGAGGAAACCAAAGCAACCTAGTTCCATGGGCAAAGTGGTACCTGTGTAAACTGTTGGATCTGACTCCTCAGTCATGGAACCAGAGCTGGTCATCAGAGCCACCCGAGGCAGTTGGTGTGGTCAGGGTTCAGTATTTTGAGCCTCTGCTTCCTCAGAATGCACAGAGTCAAGCATTGTGGCTGAGAACACAGACTCTAAAGCCTCACAGACTTGGGGCTTAATCTACTCTGCCACTTAACCAGCCGGGTAACTTTCAGAATTTTCCTTCTCTCTCTAGGCCTCAGTTTTCTCATCTATAAAATGGAAATAATGGGACATCGTCTTAGGCTGTTGTGAGACTGAATGGCATGATGTTTGCAGAGCATTCTCACAGGACCTGGCATGTTATTGTTTTTCCACAGGCAATATATGCAATGTTCCAAAAATGAAAATTAATGTGTAAACCATTAAAGACAAAGGATTCTTAGCTTCTAAATATAGCTCCTGAGTTTCTCTTCTGGAAGCCTCCTCCCTTACCTTTTGCTTTTGCTGGTTGGTTTTTTGCAGAGATGGGAATGCCAGGAAAATCTTGCCTTCACCTGCATCGTACAGCCAGAAAAGCAGCACCAGCACCCCCCTGGGAGACAGGTCTGTGGCTCCTCTCTTCCCCTGGCCCCTGCAACAGGCCCCTGCAAGGGGTGGGATGGGTCGAAATCATGAGTCTGGTTCCCCCACAGCCTGAGGAACCTCGTGTCCAGACAGAATGGCAGAGTTGGCCTCTGCTTTGGTCTCCTGGGAATCCTCTGGGATCTCTCAGATGCCCAATTCTAAATATAACTCCTGAGTTTCTCTTCTGGATCCTTCCTCCCTTACCATTTGCTTTTGCTGATTGGCTTTTGCAGTGATGTGAATGCCAGGAAAATCTTGCCCTCACCACCCTGTCCTGCATCGTACAGTCAGAAAAGCTGCACCAGCAGTCCCCTGGAAGACAGGTCTGTGGCTCCTCTCTTCTCCTGGCCCCTGGAACAGGCCCCTGCAAGGGGTGGGATGGGTCGAAATCATGAGTCTGGTTCCCCCACAACCTGAGGAACCTCGTGTTCAGACAGAGCAGCAGAGCTGGCATCCGCCTTGATGTCCCGGGAATCCTTTGGGACCTCTCAGACGCCCAATTCCCAGAACAGGGGAATTTTCTCCCAGGCTCACTGGAGCCCTGTGTGGGCAGGGTTTCTGTATGATGCCTTGTGAGTGGATGTCCCTGGTGCTGTACAAGGGAAGAACAACTGCCCCAGAGGCACTTCCCTCATAGACCACTAGCCCCACCTCAGAATATTCTGGGAGGGTGGAGAAAGGGGGTGATTTGGAGTTGGCAGCCTGACCTCGGAGCCCTTGAGCCTTTGGTTTCTGAGTGGACTACACTAATAAAACCTCTCCCCAGCGCCTGCTACTTGGCATGCCCATGTCCTCTGATGAGAATCTCTGCCTGTCCTTTCCACTTGGCAGACCCCACACTTCCCCAAAGGCTGGCCAAGGAGGAGTGCCACCACTTGACCCTCCTTGGCCCACCAGACAGAATGAATGCCCCAGCTCCCTGCCCTCCTACTTTAGTACTTATTGCTGTATTGCAGCCAGAATGTCCAGAAACTAGAAATTATGGTGACAAGTGAAAACTCTTTGTCACATTCAATCCCCACTGCCTTCTAAACAAGTGATGGCTGCAAGGAAGGAAGACTGGCAAAGCCAGGAAGGTGCTCTGCAAGGAACATTTTTTTAAAAGTGGGTAGAAATAGGTGGAGAAAGAAGAGGAAGAAAGGTACAAACATCCTTCTCTTTTAAGGGAATTTCCCTAAATGTGTTCTACCCAACACTTCTGCTTACAAATCTCATTGGCCAGAACCTGGTCACCTGGCCACACATAGCTGCAAAGGCACTTCCCTCATAGACCACTAGCCCCACCTCAGAATATTCTGGGAGGGTGGAGAAAGGCAGCTGGGAAATGTAGTTTTGTAGCTGTGTGTCAACTTGCCCAGCTAAATATGATGGTTCTGTCTTTAAGGAGGGAGCTCTGGTGGTGTAGTGCGTAAGGCATTTGACTGCTAACCAGAAGGCTGGAAGTTCAAACCCACCAGCCACTCCTCTGAAGGAAGATTGGGCAATCTACTTCCGTAGTGATACCGCCTCGGAAACCCAACGGGGGGGTCGCTATGATTCGGATGCCATTCAATGGCAGTGCGTTGTGTTTGTTGTTGTTGTTGTTAAGGAAAGAGGGAGAATTGTTATCTCTCCTCAAGGGCTAAGTGCAGGATAGATACACACTGGAAGATTTCCTAAAGGACGTAACATCTAGGCTGGGTGCTGCAGGAGACAGGCCTCAAGTAAAATGGGCTTGGGTTGGGAAAGTTGGGGGCACAGAGGGGCAGATGGAATATGGTGAGGGGACAGAAAAAGCCATGAGAGAAAGCACATTTGACTGTGTAACCATGTAAATGTGTGGGGGAAGAGAAGTCCAGGGAGAGGAAACAGCGAAAGCAAACTCTGAGGCTAGAAGTTGGTAAATCTGCCTAATAGAAAGGTCAGGGTTGTCAGAGGGTGTGAATGAATACTTGGGGAGGGGGAAGTGGGTAAGGCGGGCTGGCATATGACAAGGTCAAGGGTCAGTTCATACAGGGCCACACAAGGTCATCGAACAGAATTTAAATTTCATGACAACATTAACAAAAACTACTAAAGGGTTTTAAGCAAGGGATTGGTGTGATCTGATTTGCATTGTAAGAGGGTCACTCTGGCTGCAGTGCAGAGGGTGAGAGAATGAGAAGGAGGCACAGTGTCTCCTGGGTCACACTGCTTCCTGGGTGAGATCAAGTCATCAAAAACGAGATTGCATGGGAGAAGGAAGGGCTGCTTATGCACAGGGAGATAGCTCAGGGTGCAGAAGAGTATGAAGGGATGGACACTGGGAGGAGGTAGCTGTGGGGGGGAAGTGGGAGGGGAGCTGCTGCATTGTAAATTTTGGTCAATGACATGAGACAAAGTATATGTGAACTGCTGTATGAAAAGTGAATTTGCTCTGTAAATCTTCACCCAAATCCTAATAATAAAAAAAAAAAAAAAAGAGATTGCACTCTGGAGAGGTAAGCGCTGCATCCAAACATAAGATGTACTAAATGTGACATGTGGTTGTCCCCTAGCATCTCCAAGAGGCCGATGTCATCCATCCCTCTCACAGGGGACAGCCAGACTGACTCTGACATCCTAGCCTTCATCAAGGCCAGACAGAACATTCTGCAGAAGAAATGTAAGTCACCCCCTCAATGGCCCCTGCAGGGCCACAGGTCACCTGCTCTGCTCACCAAAACTTGGGGGGAGGCAAGGGAGAAGCTGGAACAAGCGAGGTGAGAGGAAAAAAAGTAGCTTCCTACATATTCCCAAAGTCACAGGCCTGGCCTTCCAGTCACTTCACCTGTGCCTGGCCTCTGGCTCCTCCTGTAAAGCCAGAGGGGCAGCATCAGAGACCCCATGACAGGGCCAAGGGAGGGGCCAGCTGGGATGTTCTTTCCCCACTTGGCAAAGCTCCCTCTCCCTCTTTTAGATCCTTTTGTTCTCCTTTTGGTTCTCTGACCCGAAAGGCAATATTCTCCTTTGTCCAACCCTCTCCAGACAGGAAGGGGCTGTGTGACTGTTTGGTAACTTTTGGATCTCTGGCTAGAAACTCACCTTTGTCCCCAAGTGTGGTTCTTGCTAATGAGCTGTAGAAGTGACACCACTTGAAGCCTCAGGCCTGAGAACAATTTGAGTGACAGAGGAAATGTGTGTGGACATCATCTAATAGGAATAACAGGAGAGGGTCTTTCCCAGCCTTCCTTAAAAACCTGCTGCTCACTAACCTCTTCCTCTTAGCAGCTGTCCGTCCATTGATGGGACTTTTCTTCACCTGCTTATCCCCCCAGAAACCCAGCCCTACCCCAGCCCTACTTTCAGTTTTAGCTTCTTCCCAATAATCCAAAGGCTATTGGATAGGCTTAGCACTGCTTTCATAAGACAAAAGGGCACCCTTGATGGTATGAAATGGTGGACTTGGGTCATCTGATGCTGAACAACCCCAGCCCTGAGGGGCCTACCCCATTTCACAGCCCACTTTCTTCAAGTGAGATAGTTGGAGGTTTTCACAGAGATGGAACACCCCAAGAATTGCTTTACTGTGGCATCCTCTGCACCAGCATCAGGGATGCCAGCCTGCTAACTGTTCCCTCCTGGCCACACGATCTGCAACATCATCACCATCATCAGCTCTCTTCTGAGGCTTGAGACACCTCAGCTGTGCCATCAATTTGCTGGGACATCTTGACCACTAATTTGCCTTCTCTCATCCTCCGTTTCTCCAACTCCTACCCACTGCCATAGAGGTGTATCCAACTCATAGCAACCCCTCCTTGGGTTTCTGAGGCAATATCACTACAGAAGTAGATTGTCCAACCTCCCTTCCAAGGAGTAGCTGGTGGGTTTGAACCACCAGCCTTCTGGTTAGCAGTCAAATGCCTTAGGCACTATGCCACCAAAGAAAAAGAAAATTAGGCTGAATGATCCCCAAGGCCCTATCTATCCCCCAAATACTAATGATATGTATTGGGCACTGAGTAGCAGCAAATAGCTAAACAGCAAACACACACTGTATCAGGGTATCTTCTCTGTGCCAGGCACTGTGCCCAGTGCTGAAGCTACAACAGTGAGCATGACAGAGTCAAGCCCTCAGAATCCGACATTCTGGTTAGAGGTAAGAGACAGTTAAAGAACACCTCAACCAATAAATGAGATCATTTGAGGTGCTAATAAGCACTGTGATTAGCTAAAGTATATAATGTTGTAGACAGCAGCTGGGAAGGCTGCTTTTTGCTGGGGTGGGTGCGGGAGGCCTCACTGGAAAAGAGAACTTCAAACTGATAGCTAAATAGTAAAAGTGGAATGGCCATGTGAAGTCCTGGGAGCAAGTTTTCTAAGCAGAGAAAATGAAGAGCCCTGAGTGTGAATGATCTTGTCCTAGTTACAGAGTGGAAAGGCCATTGTGACCTGGGTGCAGAGATACAAGGAGCAGGGCCAGATCATAGGGGCCTTCTGGAATTTGGGGTTTTTTTTCCAGGTGTAGTGGGAACCCCTGAGGAATTTAAACCACCCAACTGATGCTTTAGAAAGCTCACTCGGGCTCCCATATGTAGCGTAGTTATAGGGGGTCAAGAGTGGGCTATGGTGAAGGTTCAGGCAAGGGATGAGAGTGGCCTGGACTTGCCAGTGGGCTGCATGTGAGGTGTGAGGGAAGGAAAAGAGAAAGCACAGCTCCTGGGCTTTAGATCTGAGCAGCTAAGAGCATGGTGGTGCCACTTGCAAGGCAAAGCATCCTCTGGTTGAGGTGCTCCATCCCTGCACAAACCTCCAGTGGTCTCACTTGCACACAGTTGATCATGAAGCTGGCTGTAGACCCTCTCAGAGCAAGGGCTGTCAGTCAGAATATGATCTCACTGAACCAAGAAAGGCAGGAAAAAGAGGATTTCAGAGGGAAGGAGCTGGAGTTGTGAAGAGTTCTGGGTGGCCCATGTGAAACTTGAGCTGCTGAAGTTGCCGATGTGTTGAATAGGCAGCTGAACATAAATAAAAATCTGGAGCCAGGGGAGAGATCTGAACTAGAAAAATAAAAGCGGGGTCACCATGTGTGGTGGTTACGTTTGTGTATCAACTTGGCTGGGCCTGGTTGAATGGCTGGGCAGCTGGTGATAGTTATTCCCCATGATGACACTGGCAATCAGCTCCATGATGGGATCTACCACAAGCAGCTGAGTAGCTGCCTTAGGGAATGTGGTCTGCTTCCTGTATATAAGGAGAAGCCTTGGGAATGGTCTCCAGCCTATGGCACGCTTGGACCCTGCATGTAGCCATGCCGTTGTCCAGCAGCCTGCTATGCTCTGCCGACCTTGGGACTTACAATGGACTTGAATTAATGGGCTGCCATGTGGTTTGGTAACATCGGGATGGTGCTTTTTTACTTGTCAACTTTGGGCTTCTCAGCCTCAGCAGCCAGCAGCTGAGTGAAGAAAAGCCTCTAGCTTTAGTGGGCTGGAAGCAGGAGGCAGAGCTGGACCCCAAGGTCAAGGAGCTTTCACCCAGCCCCTAGAGCCTGGCACTTTGAACTTGGACTTAAAGCCTCCAAACTGTAAGAGAATAAACTCCTGTTTGTTAAGGCCATCCCATTTGTGGTATATTCTTGTCAGAGTGGCTCTAGGTAACCAGCACACCACATGTGGATGGTGTTTAATGCCATGGGACAGGGTACAGTCTCCCTACAACAATGTAGTGATTTTGATTGCTGAGAACGGAACCTTGGGGCAACGGAACCTTGGGGCACTCTGACACTTAGAAGCAGAGAAAGAAGATCCAGCCAAAGACATTGATAAAGGCGCAGACAGGGTGAAAGAAGGGGCAGCAAGCAAGTGACTGTGTCCTCAGACAGAACTGCAGAAGAACAGCTTCCAAGGAGAGAGCAGTCCATTGAGTCCAGTGCTGCAAAGCGGTTGAGTAAGGAAGGACAGAACATGGACCATTCGCCATTTTGCACATCACAGTGGTCCTGGACAAGAGCCATTTCAGGCAGTAGACAGGGAATGGAAGCCCCTGTTGGAGTGGTTGAGGAAAGCATGGGGGTGGGGAAGCAGAGACAGTGAGTAGGGACAAATTTCCTCCAGGGGAGTTCAGCAATGAAAAGGAACAGAGAAATGGAGCTGAGCTAAAGGGAAGTAGGGGGTCAAGGGGGAAGTTTTTTTGTTTGTTTTAAATGAGTGCTATTAAGAAATGTTTATATACTGAAGGGTATGGTCCAGTAGAAAGAAGAAAATCGATGGTGTGGGAGAGAGGACCAGACTGAGGGGAAAATTTCCATGAGAAAGTGAGAGGTGATGGAGGACATAAGTGGGTAGGTTGCCCTTAGAAGCAGGAGGACTCCCTGTCCTGTGACACATGCATATAAATAGGCCATCATTCCTCCCCTCAAGAAGCCTACAAGTAAGCCATATTCTAATGTTATGTTGATTCAGTTCTTCCTGTACACGTCACAGAGATATTAGAGCCCAGCCTTTTCAGAAGAGAAGAGGGATGAACTGAAAGTCCATGTCACGATGGTGTCCTCCTGCTAGCACTGTCCCCAGGTGTGCAGAGAGCTGGGTTGAAGGGTTGTTGTTGTTGTTGTTATGTGCCGTCGAGTCAGACCCGACTCATAGCGACCCCTCCTTGGGTTTCCAAGGCAGTATCACTACAGAAGTAGATTGCCCCATCTTCCTTCCAAGGAGTGGCTGGTGGGTTTGAATCGCCAGCCTTCTGGTTAGCAGTCAAGTGCCTTAGGCACTACGCTACCAGAGCTGTGCATGGCATGTTGCCATTTATATTCCATTTTTTATTTATATTATTTCATCTGATGCTCTCAACACACCTGTAAGGTAGACAGAGCCAAGATTATGAAACCCTTTAGGAGTTCTGGTGGCCTAGTGCCTAAGGCATTTGACAGCTAACCAGAAGACTGGTAGTTCAAACCTATCAGCCAATCCTCAGAAGGAAGATTGGGCAATCTACTTCCATAGAGATACTGCCTCGGAAACACAAGGAGGGGTCACTATGAGTCGGGTCGACTCAATGGAGTGAGTTTGGTTTTTGGTTTTTTAACAGGTGAAGAAACTGAGGCATGCAAAGGTTGAGTAACTTGCCCAAGGTCACATAGCTAATAAATGACAAAGCCAAGGTAACCCAGGTCTTCTGCATTTTCTCCACGGGGCCACCCACACTGTCTTGAAGAGCTACAACTGCCAAGATGGCCCAATGGGCAGTCCAGCATTTACCTCTTGGCCTCAGGAAAAGGGACCAACAACAACAGGAGAATGACTATAACCTCCCCCCTTCTCCTACAGAGGGGAGCTTCGTTCTCCAAACAGACAGCAGCCTGGAAATAATTCATCAAAACAAACAAAAGTTTCAGAGTTCAATTTTTCACCTAAAGGAAGAAAACTAGTCCTGGTTTCTTAGTGACCGTGGGCCACAAAGGAAGCTGAAGACATGCTGACAGGGGACCCTCTCCCGCCAGGTCAGGGCACAGAGCCAGCAGGCCCAGCCTTTCCATATGCGGCAGATGGCACAGCCTCCCCAGGCAGCACTTTGTACGCAGCCCACTTATCAGGCCTCCCTGTCAGGCAAACATGCAGGCTGGGGCCCAGCCACCTTCCCGGCCAAAGCAAACAGCTCCTCTCCCCTGCCCTGGGCTCCCTC